ATAAATGAAAACTAATACAGAAAAATCGCCAATAAATTGTACTATACATTAGGTTTAACAATCTTACACAAACTATAAACTTAAACTAAAAACGCATTACATTGATTGCAATAGTTTGTGCAAACATGTTTTTCTGACTTAAACGTTAACAAAACTACAGGACTCCAATAACTAAGTGATCAAATAGAAAATAATGAAAATTGGTAACAAGTATCACAATTGATATATTGAAACATTCCTACACTTAAGACTTAAGCCCCGTTCACACCAAGAACGATAACTATAAATATAATGATAAAGATATAGTTCTAAAAATCGTTCTCAATATTAAAGAATAGCAGAGTCCACACCACAACTATAACGATAAAGGCACAGAGAAAACGATATTATTGGAATCACTTTCAGAACGATTTTTCCCAGCTGATGAATGATAAAAACATTGACAGCCAATCAGAATCAATCCTGCTATATCGAGCTCGAGAATTTAAAGCGGCAGACGAGTGTGTGCTTAGAATAAACAGACGATATCGTTAGCTGGTGTGGACGCTAATATCGTTATTTTTATAGTTATCGTTCTTGGTGTGAACGGGCCTTTACAAATGAATTTTCAAAATGAAATTTTGCGCAAACATCTTTTTACGAATGATTAACTAACCTACAGGACTCCAATAACTAGGTATTGCAAATAAATAAAAAAATAATGCAAACTGTCAATAAATGTCACTATTGATTAATTGAAGCATTCTTACACTAAATTAGTGTTGTCAAAAGACCAGGTACTTCGGTACCAAGTCGGTACTAAAAAAATGAAAACGGTACAGTACCAGGTTTTTTTAAGTACCGGTGGTACAGAGTACCCGGTCAACCCGGTTCCTGATGCGCTATCCAAAAGGTGCGCAGATGCGCTCTCTTCATAAAAGCACTGAGAAGTGGCTTAATCAAACTAACAAAACACTTTAAAGACAGACACCCGGATCAAATGAAAGAGTTCAAGCAGGTAAGTTTCATTTAAATTTTTTATATTTAGATCGTCTCAAGTGTTTCCCATACATTGATTTATTTGTGGCGCCCGCCACAATATCAAAACTGCTATAAATAGATTTTCCAAAAGGCTTTGAGTTTGTTGAATAAACATGAGCACTGCACGTGTCAAAGTCGAAACCCGCTGCGGGTGTTTTTATATCACTGTATTTCTGAAGGAAACCGACTGTCTTCAGAAAATTATGGATGTCATTTTCATTTCATCTTGCCTGCATTGCCTGAACAGCGTTTGTGAGCACAGCGCTTATTTGATTACAGCCGTTACCGGGGAAACCTCTATCTCTCCTGCTTTACAAGCGCCTCCTGCTGGCAGAGAATGAATTTGCATATATATGCCGCCACAAATAGAGTGCAAGTCTGTGGGAAACACCGCTTCTGTTATGAACAGTGTTGGGGGTAACGCATTACAAGTAACGCGAGTTACATAATCAGATTACTTTTTTCAAGTAACTAGTAAAGTAACGCATTACTTTACATAAAAAGTAACTAAGTAACGTAATTAGTTACTTTTTTATGGAGTAACGCAATATTGTAATGCATTACTTTTAAAAGTAACTTTCCCCAACACTGGTTATGAATATTATTCAATATTTTTAATTTGAATGTCAGTTTTTTTTTTTTTAGCTAACTTAGTTGTTATTCTTGGCTGAATAACTAGAAGGTTTTAAAAGCCCTTTAAAAATAATATGTACACAGTTTGGATTAAATGAAAGTATAGTCAAATTTTTAAATTAGCATGTTTTTTTGTTTTGCTTTGGTACCGAAATTTGTACTGAGATTCGTGGATTTTCACTGGTATTGGTACCAAATACTGAAATTTTGGTACCGTAACAACACTACACTAAACTATAAACGTGTGCACTAATTTGAATACGACAGTTTGCGCAAACGTTTTTTCACAAATGATTAACTAAACTACAGGACTACACTTACTAGGTGATCAAAATAAAACTTTTTTTACGCATAAACTCTAAATGTAAGAAGTCATTTTAATGTGATAATTTGCGCAAACATTTTGTTTTCCAATTTTGCACATTGTACAAGAAGAAAATGCTGGAAATAAAAGTAGCCATTTTAAACAATCATTTAAACAAAATCTAAACAGTTGTCAGCAGTACTAACTTTTAAATGTAGCAAACGTCTAAAGCTCCTACACTGAAAGAGTGTTCAGCTTTTAAAAATCTAACAATCTATATATCATATTTGCATACTGAATTGTGATTGGACCTTACTCTCTTCCAATTAGTTACATGCTGAATTTTGATGAGGCTATTCTTGCTTACAATCTAGTGAATTTTTAACTGAACTGTGATTAGTCTACCACATTTCACCTTGCAAGCACAGCCATTTCTTTTCACAATCAGGTCAGAAAAGAGATAAGAAGCAAGACTCTTTCTTTATCACTCTAATCTTTATGTAGAACATGAGAACTCCACATCAAAGTTTGAACGACACACAAGATGAACCGAAAGTGAACTGGACAGCCTAGATTTGGAAATTCTGACATTGTGAAATGAGATGGTACGATCTGAGAAAGGAAATGCGTGGTCACAGATTATTCCAATGGAAAATGGTGCTGGGTTCACCGGTGTGAATTCAATCAGTTGTGCCACCGTAACACACCGCACTGTGCCCACTGCAAAGCAGAAATGTGTGTGAAAACAGCGTCGAACCATGAACGTGTCATTTCGTCAGAGGTGTGTGGTCACATGATATTAAATCTCAGGTTGCCAGCGAGAGTGTGCGCCTAACTGTGTGGTGCTAAAAAAAGAACAACATTTTGCAGCGGAAACTTTGATGACTCAAAGTGTTTCAGTCCAGCCCTTGTGTGCTGAAAACGCATCATTGGGCAGATCCAAATCTAGAATTATGTGGTCTTTGAATACAAATATTTAAATGATCCAACTGTACACAACAACAATGAAAGTAATAATAGATAAGTGATCTATTAAACAAAGAATTTTTACAAGAAACACATAAGCAAACATTAATACAACGTGGAAGATAAACAGGTGAGTTTTAGCATCATATCATTTTGCTTACTAGCTGCACTGGGGGAAACATTCATGTGGTTTATCTTCACAATAGGCTGAAACACACTGCCTAACACCATGGTAACCACTGAGGCCAAGAAACCCAACTTGTTTGGTTGATAAAAAAAATTTAGTTATACTAGACATTGAAGAGGATGAAAGTTTGTGATAAACAGACGTATGTCTTATGTAAACATTTTTATGCATTAACTATAAATGTACACATTAAACAATCTGCAAATATTTAGCAAACTATTAACCAAATTTTAGGGCTGCAAATAGCAATAAAATTGCAAAAAATGTATAGTGAAAACATCTGAAAATGAATGTCAATTGAAAATCTGAATGTAAACTGAAATCTGAAAATGAATTGTAATTGTTTTTACACTTACATTGTAACATAAAAATTTTGTATGTAATCGTTTCCGCATTTTTTTTACGAATAATTAACAAAAAGTTAGTGTTGCAAATACTAAACCACTGAAAATGAATGTAAATATTGTTTTTACACTTACATTGTAACATTTATATTTTAAACAATTTTTGCACAAAATGTATAGTGTATATTTAAATTTTTTTGATTTACAACAAGTAAAACATACTTAAACGTAAACAAACTATAGCGTTACGCATTAAACTGCATGCAATAGTTTACGCAAATGTTTTTTTTTTTGATTAACAAAATATTAGGGCAGCAAATACTAAGCAATAAAATCATATAGAAATAAATATATTTTAAACATTTTTGTGTAAACGTAATTTTTTTTGCTTTACAGCTTTCGATTTTACACATGTACAAGAAATACTGGAGATAAAATTATCCTTTTTTTTCAATTAATCATTAAAAAATAAATAAATAAATAAACAAAGAGTAGTTAGTAGTACCAACTTTTAAAAGTTACAAATTTTACTGTAAGAATGTTCAGCATTCAAAAATATCACAAACCTAGCAATTATGTTATTGTCATATTTCCATACTGAATTGTGATTGTTTTTTTCCAGAGTTATTTAAGAGTGATAATGAGCACAGCTTCGCTTATATTGGCAAAAAGTTCAAAACTCACGGTGTCGAGTCTAGGCTGATGCTGTTGGCCTGCGTGGAGGATGCAGACTTGTGATTGGTGAACGTCTGGCATGGCGAGTCATCGATCACATGATCGACTAAGTGACCAATGGAGGACGGCCTGATTCGCGCCCCGTCTGTGGTAAACACCGAGTTACTGATGAGGAAAGAAAGAAATCAAAACCATAAATGGAGCTCTCTAACCCAATGACTGGATGAACTTGCATACGTGGGTAAGTTTGTGTGTGTTAACTCACTGATCGGGCGAGTCTGGGGGAGAACGGTTCGGCAGACTCTGAGTCTCCAGTCGGTCGTCTGAGAGGGAATTCCTGCTGACGGTCTCCCAGTCCAAGCCACTCATCAGTCTCCTGACCAGAGGCTTGCTCGGCGATCTGGAAACACATTCGATTCAGAACAGATCCATCCATTTGTAAAAATCTGAATCACTACTGCTGTGGCATTTACGTAAACCAACAAGGCACATTTGACATTACAGAACAATTACAATTGGTAATCTTCATGAACTTTATTACGATTTTTTTATCAGTGAAAACGTTGGAGATAGTGACCACTACATATACAATAGTTCACAAACAATCGTTCTTTCCTGTTATCTTCGGTTTGAACACATGCCACTCTTTTCAAAAGTCTTAGTTATCGTACAGTTTAGTAATATTGAAAAAAAAAAATTCAACATAAAAGTTATTTACAATATGTAAATGAACAAGGTACATTTTACACAATCTGAAAGTAAGTTTGCGATGAGCAAACACTAGTTTACAAACAAACAATGCATTTACTGTTACGATGTTTATTACTACTAAAAACCTTAAATGTTTTATAACAAAGTACCCTGTAACCTAAACATTTCAAATTCAAACTTGATTTCCCTAAATTTTGCGATATTTTATCGAATAAACATTTTACACATAATATTTTTTCCCAACAAAAAAGATAGCATTACACCAACACAAGTTTACAAACAGTCTTTTCGGTTACAATGTTTGTACACATGCTACATCTAAAAACTATAAATAAAATATCAAAAGGATTTTACATATCCAAACATTAGTTTACAAAGAAATTGCTCTTTTCTGCTACCTTAAGGCACTCTTAAGTAACCATACTAGATTATTTTAGTTGCACTACACAAACACTAGTTTACAAGCAAACACTCTTTCCGTTTACATTGTTCGCAGACATTCTACTTCTAAACACTTTGAATAAATTGCCCAGAAACATTCCTCAAAATTGAAAAAGGAAATCGTACTGAATTTTTATAAAAATATTTAGGAAAAAAAAAGTACCAATTTTAACTCAATCGATAATTTTTTAGAATTTACTCAAACCAAAATGGCACATTTTACACATTTTTTTTTTATTCTGTCAAACCAACAAACTATCAAGTCTAAAAACCTTGAACATCTAACAGAGTGCCCTGAAACATTCCTCAAAGGTAAAGAAAGACACATTACTGGACTTCGTACACTTTATAAATACTATGAAAAACGTTTGCATTTCAACTCATTTTGCGATATTTCTTAGCATTTACATAAACCAACATGAAACATTTTATTACCAGTGTTGGGGGTAACGCATTACAAGTAACGCGAGTTACGTAATCAGATTACTTTTTTTCAAGTAACTAGTAAAGTAACACATTACTTTTTAATTTACAAGAGAATATCTGAGTTACTTATTCATATAAGTAACACAAGTTACTTTTTTTTTTCCAATTTATTGACTGACAGCTCTCCTGTCCCCATGTTGAGAGAAATCAGAAGATGTTACTGTAGTTCTAAAATAAATATGAATATGCATTAATTCATCTCACTCACAATAAAAGAAAACACAGATTCAGTATTCCTCAAAATGAATAAAAATAATGAAACTCAGAATATGACGCAAACCTGCAATAATTAAATGTTAAACAACACAAATATCCTTTATGTATTTAATCCCATTCTATTAACCAATGTCTTTGCTTCTGCCCTTCGATGATCCAGTTCAACCGTACTAATAAGCAGAAATTACTCTAGACAAACATTTGTGTCTTTGTTTATTGCTGAAGTGTGTTGAAATTTCTTCTTCTGCATTCTACTGTATGGATGTAAATGTACTTTCCCTTCAGCCTGAGGCTTATTCATTTCGCTTTTGGTGTGAAAAGGCTTTTATATTTGCCAAAAATATAACTTTTTTGTTTTAAAAACAAACAAGCAAGCCCTGTCCAGATTTAAAAAGTAACGCAAAAGTAACGTAACGCATTACTTTCCATAAAAAGTAACTAAGTAACGCAATTAGTTACTTTTTTATGGAGTAACGCAATATCGTAATGCATTACTTTTAAAAGTAACTTTCCCCAACACTGTTTATTACAATGCCCTCTCCCCCAAAAAACACACTAAAAATTGTTAGCATTACACCAATATTGTTTACAAACACTGTTACAATGTTCGTAAACATGCTACTCCTAAAAACCATAAAGATCAAACTTATTTTTAAAAAACCTTTTTGTAAGAAAAGCATCCCAACTCGTTTACAAAGAAATTGCTCTTTTCTGTTACCCGAAGCCACTCATTAAATAACCATACTAGATTATTGTAGTTGCACTACACAAACACTAGTTTACAAACAAACACTCTTTCCTTTTATGATGTTCACTACTTCTGAAAACTTTGAATAAATTGCCCAGAGACATTCCTCAAAAGTAAAGAAAGAAATCTTAATGAATTTCATACTAATATTTAGAAATAACGCACCAATTTTAACTCAATCTTTGATTTTTATTTTTTTTTAATTTACGTAAACCAACACGGCACATTTTACACAATGTTTTGATTTATACTGTCAAACAAACATGTTTTCCTGCGACGTTTGTACACATGCTACGTTTAAAATCCCTGAACGTTCTCTTACAAAGTGCCCTGAAACATTCCTCAAAAGTGAAGAAACACATTTTACTGGATTTTGTACACTTTAGAAATACTATGAAAAACATTCCCATTTCAACTCATTCTGCGATATTTCTTAGCATTTACATGAACCGACATGCAAATAGTATTTTTTTTCAATGAAAACATCAGAAAAAGTAACAAGCGATACACCAACACTAGTTTACAGACACTCTTTCTTGTTGCGATGTTCGTACACATGCTGCACCTAAAAACCTCAAATATCTACTTTGAAATATTCCTCAAAAGCATTGTGTGAAACTTTACACGATTATCTTACACTTCACAGAGAAAAGGTTGGCGTAATAAAAAAAAAATACCTTGCAGAAGTATGATGAACCATAAACTGTAGTTTAAGTTTCAGCCTCAGCATCTTCGAAGCAAATGTCTGAGTGTGTTTTCACAAACATGTGCACGACATGTGCACGCCCTTCACAGCCGTACGCTACACAGCCCTGCATACACTTCCTGTGCTTGGGTGTCGTTCTGAGAACATCTGACCACACAATGACACACACACACACTTAACACACACACACACTTAACACCACAGGGATTGAGATGGGCAGGAGCCCTCCCATAATGCAACACACCCAAACACGTACACATAGAACGGCACATACTGTCAAATGCAGTAGATATAACCACGATAAATATTGACGTCATTGTCTATAGTGTGGCGAACCAGGGTTATTATAGTTAACTAGAACCACAACCATATAAATATATTTTTGTTACTTGAGATAAAACCTTATAAAAAGTATTACTAGTGCATTTTTACTTCACAGAGTTCCCCTGCTTATTGGTTATTAAAAAATGAGTTACCTTGCAAAAACTCTGTTCTTGTTGCCTCTTTCCTTTCCGTACTGTACAGACTGCGCCTCTGTCCGCCCACTGCAAAAAAAGCCAGAACATAGAGTCACTGCCGGCTCTCAAAACTCCATTTGTGCAAGAATCAGGAGAGATAGCTGTACAATAGATGACAAAATGACTTGCAGTCGTGACCAAAACTAAAGCAACACAACCAATACATTGCTAATAGGGGCAGGTGATATAGCTAAAATGTATATTTTTCAGCTTTTCCATTAAAATCACTATGATATTTTGATTTGTATGCATCTGCAGTTTCAAAACGTTTTATGCAGGCAAAAAAAATTAACTTACTGAACATATTTTACTTCACACTTGCTTTACTAACTAACTTTACATACTTTACCCAACATACTTCACTTACTTAACATGCTTCACTAACATTACTAACTAACTTTACTAGCTTTACACACTTTATTAGCTTTAGTTTACACACTTTGCTAACTAACTTTACCTAAATTACTACTACATACTTTACTAACTAACTTTCCTTGCTTTACTTACTCTGAAAATCCATGCCTAATTTGGTGTTTCCAGGCAAAAATGAATACAAATTGCTTGTACATCTTGAATTCAATCGTTTTATCAACTTATTTTTTTGCTAAACTTTTGAGTTTTGAACCAACTCATTGCATTAATTTAAATTCAAGGAGCAGATTTGCACGTTCCCATACTTGCAAGTTGCAAAACAAAGAGAAAATAATTTGCCATTGGTTTTCCAGTATAAAACCTTCAGCAGGGGGAACATCTAGTCCATAAACTGGAGTTTCAAAATGCCATGGCCTGCTCCTATGCCCACTACATCCCAACGAACAACACAAGAGTTCGAACTCTTCTAACGTTCTCACCTGTAGCGAAACTTGGATCCGAGGGTGAAGTACTGCAGGAAAAGGTTTCTCTCCGGAGGAACGGGCCGCTCCAGTCTGAAGAACGTGTGATGCTCCACGCAGGCCTTCCATAAGTTCTTACAAGCTCTGTAGTTCATCATGTTGAAACCCAATAAAGACTCTCTGTTCTCAGTCTGTGAAACAAAATAAGAAAATAAACAGAGAACAGACGGAAGACAAATGAGAAAACGAGTTTGGTGAGCTCAAAGTAGATTTGTGAATGATCCAGTTTAGTATGTAACAATTTCAGTTGTTACCAAGCACAATAACATTTAGCAATTTGATTCTAATTTTGTTACTACAGCAAAAGAAAATCTGAATTCAAATTTAAAAAGTTAAATATTAATTAATTAAATTGTAGTCTTCAATTATGTCTGATTTAAGTAAACCGCAGGAAATAATGAACATAATTAGATACAATAATCAAGTAAAGACAGATTAAATGAAAAGCAACACATACGTAATTTCGTACATACCAGTTCTTTTCTTAGTTGTATAAAAAACTGTTTAGATTTAAAAGATATTTTTACAATTTTCAACCTGAAACACAAAAAAGAGAGGGAAGATCAAACAAATGTAAATTTGCATCCACAAGATTTCAGTTGTGTTTATGTCAATGAAATTCCCCATTTCAATCAGATCTAAAGAGAACAGAATTGGTTTTATTATCATTGTTATTATTATTAGTAGTATTGTTGTTTGTTTTATGACCCATATGTACAGCACTTTGGTCAACTACTGTTGTTTTTAAATGTGCTTTAGAAATATAATAAACTTGAAACTAGAATTCACAGCTAAAACGACACTCACCACGGAAAGTGGTTGACTCGTACCCTGTCCTTATAGACGGAGATGCCGGCAGACAAAACTCCGATGTAAATCTCTGTGTTACAGTGGTCCTGAAATCATCAAGAGTTGGAAACCATAAGGATTCAGTTTCCACGGCAACATCAAAATCATTTTGTTTCAAAGGGCGCTTAAACTTTTGGTTTAAGAAGGGATGCTTATACTGGCAACCATTTTGATATCAGCCAATAATGTTAGATAGATTGAACAGTTAAAACAAACAACAGATCAAAAGAATGACAAAACAATATACTGGTTGAACAAATGATACCTAGAACAACATAATAGTGATGCTAGAAAATACTGCTACTGCTTTCTAATTCAAATGTTCACATTTTACGAATAGGAGTAGAAACAATTACGCCATTAAAAAATGTATATAGAAACGGCCTTATGTGCAATTTAAATGTTTATAAACAACTCTGTTTTTGTTTGAATTTTGATTAACAGACAAACTTGATTAATTACTTGATTATTAAATAAACTTTATTTTCAGTTTCGGTTTTCAGCTAAATTAAAACTTTTTGGTGTTTTGGTAAATTAATTTCGGTGCATCACTACAATATATAGAATGACCAAACAAATTGATTTATTATATCACAAAAAACGAATTATTAAATTAAAACACACTAAAAAAAAACACTAAAACACGGTCACAAACAAAACACTACAAAAAATAAAAAACACTAAAAACACATACAAAAAAAAAACATTAAAAGGAAAATAAAAACAAAAAAACTAACAAAACAAATAAAACACAAAAAAACAAACAAAACACTAAAAAACAAACAGAACAAAAAGCAGCAGCAAAAAAAAAAAAAAACATTAAAAATAAAACAAAACGCTACAAACAAAAAAAACCTCACAAAAAAGCTAAAAATAAATAAATAAATAAAACAAAAAACACAAACTAGGCAAAACATGAAAGAAAACATGGGTGCATCCCTAGGTTTAAGTGACAAAAAACATAATTCAAGGCTCTAGTGTTTGTTCACAGTACATATGAAAAGGGGAGGGGCTGACAGCGGGGTAAGATGGGCCAGTCACTCACCCGAGCATAGTGCAATTCCACGCCATACAGCTCCAGCGTCCGCGCAGCATTCAAGTAGTTAAACTCGGACTGAGCTGGTGTGAGTCCACTGCATAAGAAAGAGAGAGACTCAATCTCATGGATCCACAAACAATGAACCGCCTTGCTCCACAAATCTGCCCGTATGTGTGTGTGTGTGTGCGTGCTCAGCTGTGACCCTTTGTTCCTCCATCTCCACTGACACTCAGTTAAATATAAGAATCTTTAACACACTGGAGGATTTCATGGACAACTCTTACTTGTGCTCTTGGTGAAGTTTGGCGACCTCTTTCTCAAAATCCTGCGGTGGGTTGGGAATGAAGCTGTACTCGGAGAGGTACCCAGGCAAATGTTCGGAGTGACTGTAGTCCCCCAGCTCAGCTGAAACACAGAACAGGCCAAGAAACCATGAGTGCATGTACGTCAGTGTGAGACACGGGGCTCAATGTGTCCGTCACCCTTTCAAAGAGCCAGGCTTCCAGTTTCCTCTTGGTCTAAGAGCGCAGACTGACTCATTATGTCTGCTGGATACTCAACACAAATCAAAATTAACACCGTTAACTTTCTTAAAATAGTTTGAAAGTTATTCTCAAACTTTTTTCCAGAATAAAAATTGATGATACTGATAAGTTGATAATTTATATAAAAAATATTTCATGTTGTGGAATAAACGTAATAAAATTAACAATAATTAATATATTAAAATAATATTAATTATATATTAATAAAAAAAAAAAAACATTTCACGTCACACTATAATTTGAAGCATTAAACTATTTTAGACAATTTTCTAGAAAAAAATTATGTACCTGTGACTATTTCATTTAAAAAAAAGGAAAATATTTAGATAACTGACAACTTTATATTTAGTGTTTTATCTAATTTTTCTAAAATAAAAAAACTTAACATTAACATTAACTTAACATTTAACTTCTTAACATTATAATTTGAAGCATCAAAAATTTCTCAAAAAATAAAATAAATGTACTTGCATCTTTTTGTTTTTTCATTTGAGAAAATTGTAGAAAATTGTTTAATGCTACAAATTATAATGTTGAGATAAATCGACTTGACACTTTATTTTTATTATTTAATTTCAATATTATAATTTGAAGCATTCATTTTTTTACAATTTTCAAAAAAAACTAAACTGACAACAAAGGCACAAGTAGTGTAATCTGAAGAATGAAACAATTTTGCACATTTTTCTAAAAAAAAAAACCAACACAAAAGCAAAAAGGCGGAGAACATTTATCTAAACATTATACTGTAAATTGAAGCATTAATCAATTTTGTCAGTTTTTCTCCAAAACATTTAAACACAAAAAATTAAGTGGCAAGTATATTTATCTTAAAATTATAATTTGAAGCATTAAATTAAATAATTTAGAATTAAATAATTATGTCAGATATTCATTTAAAGGTGGGGTAAGTGATTTCTGGTAGCTAATGTTGACATTTGAAATCGCCAAAACAAACACGCCCCTACCCCAAAAGGGTCTCGCCCCTATTTTGATAGCTCCGCCCCACACATACGTACGCAACCCAGGCAACGATTAGTTCTGTGAAACAAAGCAAAACCAATGTTACACCGTGCCTACACCGGAAGCGAGTGGCGCTCATTATAACTCATTATAATCAGTGATGCCGTCTACACCATAGATATATATACATATCTATGGTCTACACTGGATGCGGCGCGGCACGACACGACAAATCCCCGACAGAAAACTGCTGCTGTGTTCTATTCATGACGTATTGACACAAATTTCAAATGATTTTCAATGGTCGCTTTGTCGCGTCCAGTGTACTAGACAGACTTTAGCTGTTGCGGCGCAGACACAGTGTTACTCACCTATCGAGAAGAAACAAAGCAACCTCGGCGTCCGATCGCAGGCCTTCAGCTCCTTGAGTTCTCTCCAGCGCTGGAAAGCTGATCCGATGTTAACACGAGTCCTACTTCTTGCCTTAAGCCTTCTTTTGTTTCCGCAAACATTTTCCTCTTTTGTTTTCTATCCGCCATCTCTATCTTTCTGTCGCTCGGCTCAGCTAATGTCCGTCCCGTGCACTGAACGCGCTCTCCTCCACATCATGAGTAGACACACCCCTTACTGCTGATTGGCTACAAGTTTGTTTTGCTATTCGGCCCGAATCAGTTTACTAAAGCGTTTTTGAAAAATCGCTTACCCCACCTTTAAACATTAAAATGAACTGTGTTATTATTAGTATTGTTACATTATTAACTTAAGTCATCACTAAATAGGTAATCTATATGAAAACTAGGCAGAAATAAGTGTGCACAACAAAATCTCAATTAACGCATTATATTTACGCGTTATATTATATTAACCTTTAAAAAAAAAATTATAAAACGATACAATAACAAAAACCTAATAAAAACAGGAAACTTATGCGATTAGTTATATAATCAAATGTGAAGCCACTAGTAAAGCACACCAGCTGTGGTGAGTGTAACATGACCGGTTACCACAACAGATTGTTAAATATGTAATAAATCTACACTAGACACATTATTCAGCCTTATTACTGGAAATGGATCAGACAGGGACAGGAAAGAGACTAAAGGCAGATCATGAACTATTTGGCAAAGCGTACAGCCTTTGTTCATCCTGTGCGGACAGTTATATCACCAGCCAAACAAACAAACAGGTCAGAGAGTTTGCAATCAGTTCCTCAAAATCGGCTTCATTCAAACTGACTTGCAAACCATCATGAATGGCAAGTAAGTACTATGATAATGCATTACAGCTTTAACATAAAAAAAGCCTGATTAACAGAAGACCTCATTACAGATTCCTCATATTTATTTGCTAATATTACCATGCTTTATAGATATTGGCACTGAAAAACCCATAGGACCGCTAATTGTGACAATAACATAAATAACCTGTAATACTTTACCCTGAACAGCATAAGAAGCCAGAAGAACTGCAGTATTTTGTGGGCAAGGGAGTCTTAAAGAGAAACAGAAATTAAAGTGTTATATAAAAATGGCTTTTGGAGGAAAAATAAACACTTTTTCATGTATAATGTATAAGCTCACCTGCCACTCAGAATATCCTGCTTCAGTTGCAAAAAGTACAAATACCTGCAACAAATAAATGTCACAAAAAAAGATAGTTAAATCTGTAATAAGCATCCAGAATGAGAAAATGTGTTATTTTTACTATTTACACAGATATAAGTTAAGTTAAATGATTATATGAATTTATATTATTATGTTATATGAATGTTATATGTCATGTGCAGTACTGGGTAGTAACTGATTATAATGTAATCTGGATTATATAATCAGATTTAAAAAATGAAGCACTTGTAATTATATTCTGTTTTAAAATGATCATAATTAGATTACAGTTACTTTTTATGGATTACATGATTAGAAAGTACAATGCATAATAGCCATGTAAATTTATTTGCAATTCATGCATCTGAATTTGGGGACAAAAGCACCACTCAGTCAATTATACCATGTATGAGATGAATTACACAAGTTACAAGACTACTATTTGTAAGGAATCTACCCAGCACAGCATACAAGTGTAGAAATGTTTTTTAAAAAAACCCTAAACTGTACCTTGTGTACTCTTCCTGTAGTTTACTAGGGTCACTCACGAAAAACTTCACTCTATATCTCAGATTATGTGGAGACAGCCCTAAAAATAAAAAAATAATTACAATCAGAACATTTTATTCTGACACAAAAAAAAAAACATTAAAATGTAAAAAAAAAATAATAATAATAATAAAAAAAAAGACTTACTTTTGAGCTGTTTTCTAATAGGTTTGTTTGGGTCCAGCCACCTCTGAAACATACACGGTCATAACCGAAATTTAGGACACTTTTTACTCAACATTTTCACGATGAACACACAAACTGCTAAAAATACCAGCTCAGCAATGTGAAAGACACCAAAACTGCTTGTCAATTCAAAACTGAACAACATCAAATGCAATGAATTAAACATTCAACTTGTTTTTATACAAGCAGGAACAGACATCAGCGTTTCAATATGTGACCTGAGAATGAACCTTCCTGTTTGTTACAGACACGGTGTGTGTAGAAACCAAAATAACTGCCAGACTGCTTCAGATTTGCTATAAATAATTAACAAGGTTCATGGGATAATATTTTTGCAGCTTCTTATCGCTCTTATGCAAAAAAAAAAATTTTTTTTCAGGTTAACATGTTGTGATCACAATTTACATTGAATGATGTTTACACCATTGTTTGATGCAACTGCATGCTGTATTTTTATATGAAAATAAACAAGCTGAGAACACTTACTGAAAAACCTTTAGTGCTTTTCTATAGTATTTAGCCTCAAATGTCAAATATACATCGGATTGGTTTCTTTAAATTATATATAAAAAAAAAAAAAATAAAATAAAAAAATTATATATATATATATTATATTATATTATATATTAACATATTATATTATGTTAAAACATAAAAAGAAAACATAAAAGACAAAACACAAACCAAATGCAAAAGAAAAACACAAAACAAAATACAAACTAATCAAAACCCTAAACTAAACCTATAATAAAAACCCAAAGCAAACCAGAACAAACCAAAGCAAATCAAATCAAACCAAAATAATCCAAACAAAACACAAACCAAACAAAAAAAACAAACAAAAACCAAACGGAACAACCAAAAGCTAAAATCAAACCAGAACAAAGCAAACCAAAAACCAAAACAAACCAAACCCAACACAACCAAAACAAAACATACCAAACCAAAAACAAGAAAAGAAAAGAGAAAAGAAAATTAAGTAATGTCTTGTTTGATAATACAATGAATGCAATGCTTAACATCTTTATTTCAGACATGGCAACCATGTTTAAGTACCGTAGTAATAACATGTTGTTGTGTTTTAAGAATTCTGATAAAACTATAGTATTTCCACAAAAACCACAGGATTTTTGTGTGCAAATACTGTATTAACAAATGAAAACTTTAGGCAGTTTTAATAGACAAACGTTTCCAAGCTAGCTTAACCTTCAGCCCAGACGATCTGTGTAGCATGTATGATCACGACAGCCATGGCCTCAGGAGACACTTCTGTCCAACCCAGGAATGTGAAGCATCTGCCTGAAACAGCCACTGTGAGCTGCACGAGGAAAACCAACCCCAGCCGCCACATCGCATAACTCCAGCCAGCCTCTATTGTACCTCACAGATGGTTGGTCTCCTGTGGTGATTCTTACCGACCTGCCATTTAGCAGACATTTTTCATCTGAGCCGATTTATTCCATACTAACAGCAGTGCTGCAGCTCAGGAGCGAAACGCTGATACAGCAAAAGTGAGACATCAGTTACTTTGCGGTTTGTGGGTCACCTCTACCTGGGATTGAACTCGCAACCTCTAGAAGATCATTATCCACCCAACTCTAAAACATATACTCACTGTTTCTGAAAGAACAGTTCAGTCAGAAACAAAAGTCCTGTCAGCATTTACACACTTTTATGTTGTTTTATGTTATCGTCTGTGGAACACAAATTAAGATACTTTGATAAATGTTCAAGCTGCTCTTTAATCTCAGGAATTCAGTCTGTTCCTCAGGCAAAGCTGTTGCATGGCTTTAGATTTTGGGTATTTTTGGAGCTTGACACCCATTATGGTAATATGGGAAAGAGCAGCCGAGACATTCAGCAAAATATCTACATTTGTGTTCCACAGAAGAAAGAAAACCATACAATTTTGGAATAGCATGTAAATGAAATATATATATATATTTTTTCATTGCTTACTGTGTTTTAAACTACCCTTTTGAGGGAGAAACAATGTACCTCAAGGAGATTTTATGTGGAACTCTTGAAGTTCTCAAAAATGTCATTCATCACAAATCTATAGGGGTGACCCCGAACAGTCGAAGATTCAATGCTTTGATAGGAGGAACCTGATTCGACTACCAATCTCACAGTTGAATATTCGCTGAGGCGTTATGATCATGCCATTTTGGCTATATGGGGGTGCTCAAATGTCTGATTTCACATAGAACTACCGGTTTTCTCCCAGAGTTAATATACTGTCTATTAAGATAATGCTGTAAATAAGAATCTGAAAAGAAAGAAGCTTTAAATAAATATTTTAGGGTGCGTGAATAAATCCAACCACCCCTTTAGATTTAAGTTTCACTTTCCATAATCCGTGACCGACAGAGCATCTTGGCGCAAGGATTTAAAACTTTAGACTTAACAAAGACTTAAATTGACACAGGCAGAGTGAAAGACTGGATTTTTTTCGATCAGGTAGGGTACAACAAGTGATTTCAAAACATTTCAGCCGGTTTATATATATTGTGTATATATTATTTATCTCGTATAAGATGCATTTGGTTGAGTTGCGCTGCAGTAAAGCGCTTCATTGTAGGGATGCACCGATATGAAAATTTTGGCCGATACCAATAACCGATAATTCTTTCTTTTTGAAAGCCGATAACCGATATGTTGGCCGATAAATCTATATCCAAATTTTTATATACTTTTTGAGAGCCTGATTACAAAAAAGGTCTCATCATTAAAAACCACATCCCGAACACTTCAACATAAGCAGCCTAGTTTGAACGGTGTACGTTTTAAAAATAATTTTACTCTCCCATTACCAAATTTAGTCATAAAAAAGTCTTACAAATAAAATAATGCATAAATAATGCAAACAAGTCATTGGACATCATTACACGTGTAAAGAATCAAAATGAATGCGCCA